TTTGATGTGGCTCTTCCCTACTTTCCTGATCTTTTGGCTTAGGGGCTGTCTTTTTCACGAGGCTCAGAAGATGCCCAATTGAGATTGAAGACCTTTTTAGACTTCGGCATTTGTAAGCCATTAACGATTGCAAAGCCAAACTGCAATATCATTAGAATCAAAGTCAAGAAAACCAAGGAAGACTTTTTGTGGTGAAAAACCTTGGCTCTTGAATCGCCACATTTGAAAAAACGGACAACAAGTACTTGTCATCCAACCATGGCTCCAAATCCCCAATCCATAAATATTTTCTCGAATTCCGGAAGGCTGGGAGCGGTGAGGTAGTGTTTACTGTTTTGGCTTGGTTTGGGGCGGCACGGTGTTATTTGGGTGTGAGAGGTTTGTTCGGGCATTTTGTCGAACACTTGGTGGGAGGAAAAAAAGTTGTGATTTTAGTGAGTTAAGAGTTTTGTAAAAGTGGGGATTTGTGAATTAGTGGTTGGGGTGAAGAGATTTTGGTGTTTGGGAAGTGGAAAGTGGACGGGAGGGCGGAAAATGGGGTGGCTGGCGCTGGCCGCGCTGGGGCGTAGCCGCGCGCGTGCGCGCTAGGCGCTGGCCGAGCGCGCTGCGGCGGGGCGCTGGCCACGCGCGCTGCGCATGGGGTGAGGCGCGCGCGCTGCGCGCTGGGGCTGGCCGCTGCTGCCGCGCGAGGCTGCATGCAGCCTTTTGCGAACCTGGCGGCATGGTCTTCTGCTAGAACCGTCGAATGAACCAAAATTTCCAGAATTCTGCAAAATCAAACCTAGCAAGAAACCAAGAAGAAACCCTGCAAAAAATCACAAAAAATCACACCAAAACAAGTCCACCAAATGGCTTACAAACCCAACCCAATCCGCACATTTTAGCGAAAAAACAGTGGGTTTTTCCGGCAACCAGAGGTCAACAAGGTGCAATAGGATGTGGGTAGTGTCGATCTTGTCTGGATGAGTCAGTATCCCTAAACCCTGAACCCTGAACCCTGAACCCTGAACCCTGAACCCTGAATCCTAAACCCTAAACCCTAAACCCTAAAACCCTAAAACCCAAAACCCAAAACCCTAAACCCTAAACCCTAAACCCTAAACCCTAAACCCTAAAACCCTAAAACCCTAAACCCAAAACCCTAAACCCAAAACCTTAAACCCCAAAACCCTAAAACCCTAAACCCAAAAACCCTAAACCCAAAACCCTAAACCCAAAACCCTAAACCCTAAAACCCTAAAACCCTAAACCCTAAACCCTAAAACCTTAAACCCTAAAACCTAAACCTTAAACCCTAAACCCTGTATTCGTCTTATCCATTCACCTTATTTCTAATATGGCTGGCCATACCCAACAATCTCAAGAGCCTGTCCCGCGAGACAGCTCTAAGGTCAATAGGTATTTTCACTTCCGATCAAATTAGAAGAACAAAGTAGCTCGACTGGTAAGGAAAGGTACCCGAAGGAGTGTACTCGGACTCCCATTTTTTCTTGAGAAATACCTCCTGAACTGTTTCGCTTGAGAGATAGACCAACCCTAAACCCCAAAACCCTAAAACCCTAAACCCAAAAACCCAAAAACCCTAAACCCTAAACCCTAAACCCTAAACCCTAAAACCTTAAACCCTAAAACCTAAACCCTAAACCCGAACACCCTAAACCCTGAAACCCTAAACCTTAAACCCTAAAACCCTAAACCCTAAACCCTAAAACCCTAAACCTTAAAACCCTAAACCCTAAACCCTAAACCCTAAACCCTAAAACCTTAAACCCTAAACCCTAAACCCTAAAACCCTAAACCTTAAACCCCTAAACCCTAAATCCAAAACCCTAAACCCCTAAACCCAAAACCCAAAACCCAAAACCCTAAACGACTAGAAAAAGGGTTAAGCAAGCTTTCCAAAGATGGTTGGATAGCCAGATTCCGATGCCGAACGCCCCGCGAATAAGCCGACAAAGTACCGACAGCGACCACGAGTTAAGAGAAAAACACTTGAAAAAATTCTCCTTAAACCCTAAACCTAAACCCTAAACCTTAAACCCTAAACCCTAAACCCTAAACCCTAAAAACCCTAAACCCTAAACCCCAAACCCCAAACCCTAAACCCCAAACCCTAAACCCCTAAACCCCAAACCCCAAACCCCAAACCCTAAACCCTAAAACCCTAAACCCCTAAACCTGAAACCCTAAACCCCAAACCCCAAACCTGAAACCCCAAACCTGAAACCCCAAACCCGAAACCTGAAACCCTAAACCCGAAACCCTAAACCCCTAAACCCTAAACCCCAAACCCTAACCCCGAAACCCTAACTCCTAAACCTGAAACCCTAAACCTTAAACCCTAAACCCCTAAATCCCTAAACCCTAAACCCCTAAACCCTAAACCCTTAAACCCTAAACCCTCAACCCTAAACCCTCAACCCTAAACCCTCAACCCCTAAAACCCTAAACCCTAAACCCTCAACCCTAAACCCTAAACCCTAAAACCCTAAACCCTAAACCCTCGACCCTAAACCCTAAAACCCTAAACCTTAAAACCCTAAAACCCTAAACCCTAAATTTTTTTTTTGGATAAGGTAAGTATGTATAAAAGACCAAAAATGTACAAATACGAGGGGCATACCCCAAGAGGATGACTGATAACTCTCAGTCAAGAACCCGTGGGAAAACCCACAAAGTCATGAATAGCATAAAGAGAGCACGCATGCTCCCCACAAAGCAAGAGGATGCCATAAATAATAAAGCCACAAACCAGCATAAAAGAGCACGCAGGCTCACCACAAACACAAAGCCACAAACTGGCATAAAAGAGCACATAAGCTCACCACAAACACAAAGCCACAAACCGGCACAAAAGAGCACGTAGGTTCCCTAGAAAGCTAATCAGGAAGATGCCATATCACACGAAGTTGAGTCGAGATCTCGTACTTAGGTGCTAGACCCAAAATCTTGGCCCGAACTAGATCACAAAGACAATATCTCTGTGAGAGCTACAATGATTTCCTTTTTGTCCTTTTCTATTTTAAGGTAAGTTTTCTTTCTCCTCCTTTCTTTAATTTGGTTGGTGGAATCATTAATTAGTTTTTTTTTTTTTTTGGCCATAGATTGCTCTGGTTGTTGTGGGTTTATACTTTGGTAGGGTCATACTGAATTTCTTTCTTCTTCTCCTCGTGTCTTGGTTGTGTTTCCTTTTATTTATTTTTTTTTTTCTGTCGGTTGTTTAGTTTTCATTTGTATTTGGCCACACTGAAATAGGGGAGTTTTGTATCTGATTTGGTTGGTGGACATGGGTGTTTACCATTGTCATTTTGCTACCTCATTCTTCTCTTTTTGTCTTGTTTCAATTTATTTTTGTTGGTTTTGTCTGTAGGCATATCAACTTTCACACTTCATGGGTCCACAGAAGAAACGGAAGACCACAAAAGGAGCAAAGTCCTCGTCTTCAAAACGATCCACCTCGTCCTCTCGAAGATCCGCAGCTCCAAACATTCCCGGAGCTATTATTTTCAAAAGCAAGGACCAAGAGGATAGGTATGCCACTCTTGTCCAACGGCCTGTAGTTTGTACACGTTATATGGATGATGCAGTGTTGATAGAGTTAGACTTAAAAGACGAAATTGGTCTACTGCTTCGTAACATAGGTTGGACTACATTTATGGGGTTGAAATCAAGCACCTATGTCAAATTAACCTAGAGTTTCTTAGTTCTTTTTCCTATAAGATAGTCACCAGATCGTCAAGATGAAGGATGCATTTCATTTAGATTGTTAAACCAAGACCATTGTCTCAATCTTTCACAGTTTAATGAAATTTTTGGCTTCTCTAACTTGGGTTTCAGATTTCCCCCTCCTGAATATGTTGAAAACATAGTTTGGTGCCACTTTATCAACACCAAACACACACAACCATATGATGCTAGTTTTTCCAAATCCACCCACTTACGGAACCCTGCCCACAAATACATTCATAGTCATGTCACATACCATTTTCGAGCGGGGAGAAAGTATAGGGGTTGTTAATAAAAGTGAATTTTTTTGTTTATGGTGCATGGAGAAAGGCCATAAACACAACTCAAGTATTTGGCTTTTAGGACATTTGAATCATGTAGCACATGGTCGGACCGGTAAGATTGCCGTTGGTGGTTTAATCACCACTATTGCTAAATCTGTTGGCATCTCGAATGCACAATTAGGTGAACCCATGGTAGGTAAAGAACGTATTGACCTTGCTACCTTAACTGCTATGCGTATGTGTATTCCCTATCATGGTCAATATGTTTTACAAGACGGACAGGGACGTCCTATTCTGCCACAGCCCGACATTGATCAGTCTCCTCCCGAGGACTTGCAAATGACACTCCAATAAGCTTTCACGCAGAGAGAGTTGTGCTGAACACTGAAGGTCAAGCCGTTCTGACTCCACAAGCTCAAGCACCTGTGACTCTGTAGATGCTCTTACAAGTAGTGCAATGAATAGAGACTAGCATCAACAATGTCAATGATTGCCTACTCATTCTGGAAGCCAAATTTGATCGCTTTATAAGCCCACCTTCCTAAGTGTTTAGTCCTCTACATGCAGGGAAGTTTCTCTCTTTTATTTTCAATTTTTTTTGTGTGTTGTTTCCTGCTTGTCATGCATTGAGGACATTGTGTTCTTTAAGTTTGGGGGAGTGGGTAGTTTGATGGCCTATTTCTTTTATTTAGTGTGTTTGTTTTTAGAAAGTGCTTNGGACAAGCATTCGACACAACACTCAATCAAACAATATTACCAAATACCAACACCAATAAGAGCAAAGGAAGAAACAACAACTACGTACCTCAAGTGGGGCGTTACAGTACGCAATCCCAAGAGGATGAAATCCCAACTCATAGTATCAAAAGCTTTACGAATATCAACTTTAAGGGCACATCGAGGTGAAGTACCCCCAAGATGATAATTCCGCAAAGGCTTCTGAGTCAGCATAATATTATCAGAAATCCTTCGACTCGGGACAAAAGTTGACTAGGAAACCCCAATAATATCCAGAAGCACTACTTTAAACCGATTCACAATCATCTTAGAAATGCACTTGTAAAGTACATTACAACAAGATATCGGCCTAAAGTTTGTCATATGACTCGGGCTCTCCACCTTAGGAACCAAAGCAATCTTGGTAGCATTAACACATCTTGGCATTTCATTAGTAGCAAAAAAATGTCTCACTACCTCTTTGAAATCTATACCAATAATATCCCATGCCCACTTAAAAAACAAAGATGTGAATCCATCCAGGCCTAGGGCTTTATCATCCAGGATAGAGAATAAAGCAATCCTAATCTCATCATCAGTGATAGGAGCAGTCAAGGGAGAAATCATATCAGGAGAAATGCATCTAGAAAAATACATAGAAGCCTCTGTAATCTGAGGTTGACTAAAGGCAGCAAGAAGATCCTTAAAAAAACCCACCGTCAAAGGCCCTAAACCCTGACTATCAGTAATATGGGTACCGTTCCCATCAGTCAAACTGTGGATGCAGTTTCGAACCTGCCTATGGATCAGCGACTTATGAAAGAACTTGGTATTCTGATCCTCTAAGTTCAACCACTGAACACGAGACCACTGCTTAAAGAAAGCCTCCTCATCTCAACAAAGACTGAAATACTGGTTGGCAAAGTTCCTCTCCTCAGAGATACACTCAGTAGAAAAAAGGTCCCGATCCAAATTTCATTGGGCTGTTGCCCACTGAGCCCGAGCCTCAATTACCTTGCTGGAGATATGACTGGAAACCCTAATATGTAACGATTTGAGCTTCCATTTCAATAACCCCAATTTCTGCGTAAGACGGAACATAGGATTGCCTACAATAGGCTCGTCCCAAACTGCCTGAACAATATCCATAAAATTTGCATGATCAGCCAAAAAATTTAGAAATTTAAAAAGGGATGGTACCTTGCCACGGCGGGGACCAAACCGAACAACCATAGAGCTATGATCTGAGACATCCCGAGGTCGAAACTCTGAAACTGTGTTCGATCGATCAAGGATCCAAGAAAGCGATGTAAAGGCCCAATCGAGCTTTTGTAAAATAATCCTATCGCCCTGCTGACTGTTATGCCAAGTATACCGAAGTCCAATGAAAGGAACCCCAATCAACTCAGCATCATGGATACATTGGCCAAAATCATCCATATAACCATACCACGCAGGATCACCACCCACTCTGTCAGAGGCTCCCAAGATGGCATTAAAATCACCCAACACAAGCCACGGGAGCCCTTCCAAATCAAACTCTGTTGATTGATCCCTAAGGAAATCCCACAGATTGCGGCGATTCCCAGGGTCATTAGAACCATACACAAAAGTAATCCCAAAGGAGAACCCCTCAGAAACATGAGTAACCTTGCAAGTAATCTCTTGAAGAGAGCAATGAAGACTATTTACAGAGTAAAAAAAAGAACCCCAACATACCAGAACTCGGCAAACAATAGAATCCGTCGTATTTGACAAAAACTGCCACGAAGGACAAACTCATGAGACCACTAACTATAAATGAGACTGCTCAACCTTAGTCTCTAACAAACCAATCAAACCCAAAGAAGAGGCAGAAATCCAATTCCTCACTACGCGTTGTTTCGAGAAGCCATTAAGGCCTCTAATATTCCAACTCCCTATCATTGGAATTGGGATAGAAACAAGCTAAAAAAATCACTTGAGACTAAGCCCCCACTTTCCCCGACCCTTCCCCTTTACCAGGGGTGGCAAGGAAACTGATCCAGATAAGGTAGCATCTGGTGTCTAGAGATCATAACTATGCAGAACAAGCGAGGCAAACCTATTGGAAGAAGTAGATTGTTTACTCCCAGAACTCATAAAGGAAACCTGAGTGTTTAGCATGCAATTTGTGAAACCCATAATGCGGTCCTACTCATCCTCAATAGGAAAAGGTGAATCATGTTTCGACCCTGATTCAGAGCCAGAAAATTCACCTCTACTAGCACAAACAGTCTGCTAATATGGGACCAGAGCCAAAGAAACATCCCCATCTCTAACTGTACTTAGAATTGAAACTCTAGCTGGTGTGGGAACATCCCTCTCCCTAATGGGATCAGTAGTGGATGGCTGCCTCAAAGGCTCGTAGTCCTCAGATCACACTGCTGTTAGTGTATATTAGTGTATGCCCTAGAAACCATTCGTGTTGTCGGTTTCAAAGCATTTTGTCTTGTATCTATATATATCATAAATAATAGAAGAAAGAGTTTTTCAATTCATATATATAAATTGCTTCCTTTATTCAGTCATGCATTTAAAATAAAGTATGTATATGAATTGTCTAGATGATTCATTTAATCGATAAATGAATTATCGAAAAGGGTTCCCTACGGAAGCAATATAATTTGGGCAACTATATTGCATAGTAGGCATATCANCTAAAGCATGAATTCTTACCTTAGAAAGCTTTAGATGAAATTTCTACTCAAAAAGCTTCTTAAAACCCTTAGAACTCTTGGAAAATTGAGTGGAGAAATTGAGAGAATATTGGCAATTGGAAGAGGCGGTGGAATGAAGAATGAGCAAGGGCTTTCTCAACACTTTACTCTTTTAGCTCATATTATAAGCTTCATTTCCCATTTTGCCCTTGTCCTTTCTTGGAAATTCCATCTATATCCTTTGATTCTTTACAACTACACCCCCATACAACCACAATCTCTACTAAAATTCCTTTCATTTTACTCCCCACTTTTCCTACTAATTAGGGGTAGAATGGTCATTGTGTCCCAAAAGAAGAATTCTCTAGAAAACTCAAGAATCTTTATTTTAGGCTCTTCGCCGCGGCGAAGAATTTTTCGTCGCCTCGGCGAAATTGGGCAGAACCTACCCGAATGCCACTTCTCCTCCTCGCCGCGGCGAAGTTTCTTCTTCGCCCCGGCGAAGTTTGAATTTCCAACTTCACCAAAACTCAACCCATTTTCAAGGCAACAATCCAACCAACTCCACATACAAACTCAATTTAAATTAAAACAATAAACTTTTAACTAATACAACAAATCTTAAATACGTACCTCAAGTGGGATATTACAAAAACAAACTAAAACTCTCTCTCAAACCCACGGCCACTCTCTAATCTCTCAAGGTGGTGTTAAAGTGTGGAGGTCTTATTACTTTGAGGCTAATCTTCATCAATCCAAAGCAAAGGAGTAGGTATAATCTCTTTTCCATGCTTTGTTTAAAAACCGTTTTTTTTTTTTTAATCCATCCGTTCATGCTTTCTTCTCCATTTCCACCACTCTTCATGCATGCATGCTGTTCTTTCAAGAGCAATGAAGACTATTTACAGAGTAAAAAGAAGAATCCCAACATAACAGAATACGGCAAGTAATAGAATCCGTCGCATTTGACAAAAACTGCCACGAAGGACAAACTGACGAGACCACCGACTATAAATAAGATTGCTCAACCTTAGTCTCCAATAAACCAATCAAACCCAAAGAAGAGTCATAAATCCAAATCCGCACCGCACGTTGTTTCGAGAAGTCGTTAAGGCCTCAAATATTCCAACTCACTCTCATTGGAATTGGGATAAAAACAAGCTAAAAATCACTTGAGCTGAAGCCCTTGCTTTCCCCGACCTTTCCCCTTTGCCAGGGGTGGCAAGGAAACTGATCCAAATAAGGTGGCATCTGGTGTCTGGAGATCATCACGATGCAGAACAAGTGAGGTAAACCTATTGGAGGAAGTAGATTGCTTACTCTCAGAACTCATAAAGGAAACCTGAGTGTTTTCTATGCAATTTGTGAATCCTATAATGCGATCCTACTCATCCTAAATAGGAAAAGGTGAATCAGGTTCTGACCCCGATTCAAAGCCACCTCTGCTAGCATGAACAGTCTGCTGATATGAGACTAGAGCCAAAGAAGCATCCCAACCCTAACTGTACTCGGAACCGAAACTCTAGATGGCACTAAAACATCCCTCTCCCGCTCCCTCTCCCTAATGGGATCAATAGTGGCTGACTGCCTCAAAGGCTCGCAGTTCTCGGATTGCACTGCAGTAGCTTTCCCTGGTGCCTTCTGGAAACTAGTAACTATCTTACTCTTACCCTGAGCTATAGCTGCAGTAGGTACCTCTGGTTGGTGATAAACATGACCAAAAACACAGCAGTTAGGGCACCTTTTGGGGGTCCACTCATATTCCACTATAATTTGAATGGGTTCAGCAAATAACCGACATTGAAATTCAAAATGACACCTTAGAGGCTTTGCTGCATCTAGCTCAACACACACCCAAGCATAATCTAAATGGGTCCACTCTGACGTTGTCTTATCACTCGATAACGGTCGACCCAACATAAAAGAAACCATGTAGAGTCCTTTGTGAGACCACAAAGGATAAGGCAAACCATGCAAACTAGCCCATACCAGAACCTTAGAGATGAGGCTTTTATCAAAAGTAAACTGAGCATGCCGTTGTTGGAGAGTAATAGACTTGCCCCTAAACAACCATGACCCTCTCTCTAGGATTGAATGCACCCATCCTCATCCCTAAATCTGAAAAAGTAGAAACCAGTACCTGTGGACATAACATCTTCCAACCACACAGCTTCCTATGCATGGAAAGCAATTGAGCGGACATCATGAAATGGCATAGAATACCCCGGGAAATAGCCCACAATACAGCGAAGCCATTCAACGTCATTGTCATCAATAACATCATTTGGTATATGTAAGATGTCATATTTATCAAGGTCCACAACTTCAAGGGTGAAATAGGACCTAACCTCTGTCACTCTAACCTTATCCGCCCAAGAGGAGGACACTCCTGATGTGCTCTTACCCATACTTTTCTTCTCTATAATTGGCTTAGAGACTAACTTTTTTTCACGGGGCTCAGAAGATGCCCAATTGAGCTTGAAAAGCTTCTTAGACTTCGGCATTTTTAAGCCATTAAAAGATTGCAATGAAAAACTTGCAATATCATTAGATTCAAACTCAAGAAAACCAAAGGAAGAGTTTTTGTGATGAAAAATCTTGGCTCCTTGAATCGCTACATTTGAGAAAGCGGATAACAAATACTTGTCATTCATCCATGGCTCCAAATCTCCAATCCATAAAGATTTCCCCAAATTTTTGGAAGTTTGTGGCTACTGGGAGCTGATGGAGTTAGTGTTTAAAGTGTTGGCTTGGGTTGGATGTGGCATGGTGTTATTTGGGAGTGAGGGATTTGATTCAGACATTTTGTCGAACACTTGGTGGCAGGAAAAAAATGTGTGATTTAGGTGAGTTTAAAAGTTCAAAACAGTGGGGATTGGTGAAAAAACGCCAGGGGTGAAGAGGTTTTGGTGTTGGAAAGAGGAAGGTGGTCAAGAGGGCTAAAGAGTGGGAAGGCTGGGCATAGGCGCTAGGGCGTTGAGGCGTGCGTGCGCGCAAGTCCTGTAGAGTACTTTTATCAAACAACTTGCGTGCATGATAAAAGCAACCAAAACCCGACCAAATACAACCACGTTTTCCAGGAATCTGCAACAATCAAAACTCAGCAAGAAACCACAAAAAACTGCAAAAAATCACAACAAAACAGGTCCACGAAATGGGCAAAAAACCCAACCCAAACAGCACATTCCTGGGAAAAACAGTGAGTTTTTCCGGGAACCAGAGGTCAACAAGGTGCAAACAGCTACAGGGATTGTCGATCCTACCCGGAAGAGTCAATCTTGGCACTCTATTGCAATTCCCGATCGAAAAACCCACTGTGAAAGCAATTCCAGATCTGCAAATTCCGTGAATATTCACGGCCAAATCCCAGCGAATGGAGAAGCCAAACACAGGTGCTGATGAAATGACAGGAAAATTGGCTGAACACTTTTTCCGATGGTGAATGGATCATCCGATTCCGAGACCGTGAATATTTAACCCTAAACCCTAAACGCTTAGAAAAATTTCCAGTCCTCCCTAAACCCTAAACCCTAAACCTTAAAATCCAAAACCCAAAACCCAAATCCCTAAACCCAAAACCCTAAATCCTAAACCCTAAACCTTAAACCCTAACTTTTGAACCCTAAACCTTAACACCTAAACCCTAACCCCTAAACCCTAAACCCTAAACTCCTGACCCCTAACCCCTAACCCCTAACCCTTAACCCTTAAACCCTAAACTCTAAACCCTAACCCTTAAACCCTAACCCTAACCACTAAACCCTAAACCCTAACCCTTAAACCCCAAACCCCAAACCCTAAACCCTAAACCCTAAACCCTAGACCCTAGACCTTAGACCCTAGACCCTAAACCCCAAACCCCAAACCCCAAACCCTAAACCCTAAACCGTAAACCCAAACCCCAAACCCTAAACCCTAAAACCCTAACCCCTAAACCCTAAACCTTAAAACAAAAAACCCAAAAAACCCAAAAACCCTAAACCCCAAACCCCAAACCGTAAACCCTAAGACCCAAACCCCAAACCCCAAACCCCAAACCCTAAACCCTAAAAACCCTAAAACCCAAAACCCCAAAACCCTAACCCTAAAAACCCTGAACCCTGAACCCTGAACCCTGAACCCTGAACCCTGAGCCCTGAACCCTGAGCCCTGAACCTTGAACCCTGAACCGAAAACCCTAAACCTGAAAACCTTAAACCTTAAACCCTAAACCCGAAACCCGAAACCCTAAACCCTAAACCTTAAACCTTAAAACCCAAAAAACCTTAAACCCTAAACCTGAAACCGAAACCCGAAACCCGAAACGTTTTTTTTGGAAAAAGTAAGTAATTTATAAAAGAGACCAGAAATGTACAAATATGAGAGGCATACCCCAAGAGGAAGACCGATAATTTTCAGTCAAAAAACACATGGGAAACCCCACAAAGCCATGACGACATAAAAAGAGCATGCAGGCTCCCCACAAAATAAAGCAAGAATATGCCATAAATCACAAAGCCACAAACTGGCATAAAAAAGCACACAGGCTCACCACAAACAAACCAAGAAGATGCCATGAATCACAAAGCCACAAACTGGTGCAAAAGAGCACACATGCTCCTTACAAAGCAAATTAGGAAGATGCCGTATCGCACTGAGCTGAGTCAAGATCTCGTACCTAGGTGTTAAACCCAAAAACCCTAAACCTTAAACCCAAAAACCCGAAACCTTAAACCCTAAACCCCTAAAACCCTAAAACCTAAACCCTGACCTTTTTTTTTGGAAAAGGTAAGTAATTAATAAAAGAGACCAAAAATGTACAAATACGAGGGGTATACCCCAAGAGGAAGACCAATAATTTTTAGTCAAAAAAACACATGGGAAACCTAACAAAGCCACGACGGCATAAAAAGAGTACACAAGCTCCCTACAAAATAAAACAAGAAGATGCCATAAATCACAAAGCCACAAACCGGCATAAAAAAGCACACAGGCTCACCATAAACAAACCAAGAAGATGCCATGAATCACAAAGCCACAAACTGGCACAAAAGAGCACATAGGCTCCTTAAAAAGCTAATCAGGAAAATGTCATATCGCACAGAGCTCACTCGAGATCTCGTACTTAGGTGCAAAACCCAAAATATTGGCTCAAGCTAGATCACAAATAGCTAAGACAATATCTTTGCGGGAGCAACAATGCTAACAAAACACGTGATTATTTCGTTCAAACCATAGGAAATAAACTGTGACTGAAAGGACCAACTGGGAAAGAAGGTGGCTGAAGTCACCTTTTCGTCGAAGATGCAAGCTAGCCCACTGGAGCAGAGGGAGCCAAGAGATAGTAGGCCATGTAAAGAGTGTCCTAGTAGTGACCTCCCACCAAACATAACTTGAGAAGTCATAGCTGAAAAACAAATTATCATGGGTCTCTATAGCTTAACTGCACAAAACACACAGGAAGGACATGATGACACCATGAGAGCTGAGCCGATCCATGGTGTGAGGTCGACCAAGAGAAGCGAGCCAGAGAATGAAAGAGTGGCGTGGAATATGCCTTGGAAACCACAAGAGATGATGAATCGAGTTCACATCCCGTTTGTCTCGCAACACATTCCAGGTTGAATCAATAGAGAAACGTCCAAACGGGTGGCCCTTCCACACAAGATGGTCAGGATGACTCGCTGAAGGCTGCAGTGTAATGGAGCCCCAAATATGCTGAAGGTCTGCACTGCCTGAAGGAAAATCCCACAAACTATCCTGAATAATGTTTGAAACCCAAGCATCTCAAGACAAGCCAGTGGAAGTCAAATTTCTAAAAGGGAGCAAGTCACATAGAGGTCCCTACGATAGCCAGTGATCTCGCCATAACATGGTGTCCCTACCATCACCAATACAAGTCACAATAAGACCCCAGCACCAAACCTTGCTAAATGAAATCTTCCTCCAAGCCCATGAAGCCCCAGAAGTAACTCGAATATGCCAAAAGGACTAACCATGAAGGAGAACCAAATGGGCCCAAGATGACCATACAGAAGATCTATCATTAAGTAGTCTCCAAACGTGTTTAAGAATATCCGCTCTATTCCAATCTTAGATCTTCTTAATCCCTAGACCACCCTCTTTCAATGGATAGCAAACAGAAGACCATGCAACCTTGGCCCCAGAAGAGGACAAAGAAGTACCCTTCCAGAGAAACGAGGCCAAAATACTTTCAATCCGTCTAACTATAGCTACCGACAAAAGAAACATGGATGACCAATATACCTGTATGGAGAAAAGCACCGACTTTTTCAACTATAGTAAGCTTGCATAGGTCAAAGATGCCAATGTCCATAGCCTAATCTGAGATAGTATTCACTCTAACAGAGGCCTACAATCAGAATGTCGAAGACGGGTAGAGATTAGAGGAATCCCTAGATATTTGATCGATAACTAGCCCAACAGGAAACTCATGATAGACTGTAACCCAATCTGCTCCTCATCTGTAACTCTAGAAAGAAACAACTGGCTCTTCTCTACATTAGTCACTAACCCAGAAACCTTGGCAAAATATTCCAAGGCTGACTTGATCAGGCTAACAGAGGAAGCATCTGCTTGACAAAACACCATCAAATCATTCATAAAATATAAATGAGTAATAGCTGCCTGCCTGCATCTCCAATGATAATGAAAACCAGGGCTGTGAGAGGTTTCTTGAAAGATACCAGCTAACCCCTTAATAGCCACCACAAATAGATATGGAGAAAGAAGGTCCCCCCACCGAACCCCTCGGGAGGACCTAAAAAAAACCGTGATGCTTTCCGTTTAGGGCAACAGAAAAACACGTTGTAGAGATACATGTCATGATCCACCTCACCATACGCTCAGGAAAACCCATAGTACGTAGTCCCAAAAGGATGAAATCCCAACTCACAGTATCAAAAGCTTTCTGAATATCAACTTTAAGGGCACATCGAGGTGAAGCACCCCCAAGACGATAATTCTGCAAATGCTCTTGAGTTAGTAGAATATTATCAGAAATCCTTCGACCTGGGACAAAAGCCGACTGGGAACTCCTAAACCCTAAACCCTAAATCCCTAAACCCCTAAAAACCATAAAAACCCTAAAACCCAAAACCCAAAACCCAAAACCCTTAAACCCTAAACCCTAAACTTTTTTTTTTTTTTTTTTTGGAAAAGGTAAGTAATTTATAAAAGAGACCAAAAATGTACAAGTACGAGGGGCATACCCAAAGAGGAAGACCGATAATTTTTAGTCAAAAAAACACATGGGAAAGTCCATAAAGCCACAACGGCATAAAAAGAGCATGCAGGCTTCCCACAAAATAAAATAAGAAGATGCCATAAATCACAAAGCCACAAACCCGCATAAAAAAGTACGCAGGCTTACCACAAATGAACCAGGAAGATGCCATGAATCACAAAGCCACAAACTGGCACAAAAGAGCACACAGGCTCCTTACAAAGCTAATCAGGAAGAAGCCATACTGCATGGAGCTGACTCAAGATCTCGTACTTAGGT